GGTATTACGCTTCAAAGGTTATTCTATACACCTTAGCATCACTTAGTAGTGGTAACACTCCTACAAATTTCATATTTATGCATGTGTGCAAACTTGAAACCAAACCATTTGAGCACACATGTAGGGGGAGTTATCACTACCAAGTCAGGTTTTATGGTGCTTATACAAATTTTGACATAGAGCTTAAATGTTGGATAAGTAGCATAACATACAAATCAAGTTAGCAATTTACACTTTGTAAAGTGCTAGCTTGAAATGAGCTTAATTTCCATATCTTTGTAGAGTTGTCATCAATTACAAAAAGGGGGAGATTGAAAGGTCATTGTTTGGTTTTAGTAATTGAGTGACAACTTAGGTGGACTAATGTGTTTAAATGTGAGATACATAGCTGATTAGTCCATAGGTACATGTGTGTGAGCAATACATGCCATGGAGGTGAAATGGCTTGGATTTGTTACAAGGCTCACACATGTGATGAAGGAGCTCATTGCATATGAGACATGACATTGAGTCATGTGACTAAGGTGGAGATGATCAAGACAAGACTTGGCTTGATGGACCGGTTGCAAGCATGAAGGGCAAGTTAGAGGCTTTGGAGCGATGGACCGCGTGGCGGTGAAGCTTGAGCAAGACTTGGCGCCGATGGACGAAGGCAACGATGAAAATCAAGTGAGGTCAAGATCGATGAACTAATACGGTCACGTGATGATATGAAGTGGATCATTTCATTTGGTGATTGGTTGGTGCATGTGTTGCATCAACGATGGAGGAGATGGAATGGAATGCGTAAGGCAAAGGTATATTTGTAGGGCATTTTATTTCAGCGGTCAAAGGTTGGGTAGAGAAGTGCATGACCGGGTTTAGGATAGATGGGTGTACTATTAAGAGGAGCAAACTTGTTTGCATATCCGTCATCTAGTGCCACTTGAGTGATCTAACTTTGCATACGTGTTAGGATCGAGTGGCATTAAGAAAAGAGTGCTAATCCTTCGGGAAAAATGATTGTGAAAAGCTAACACACGAGCACAAGGTGGTGATCACTTGGTGGTGTTAGCACATTTACAAAGGACTACTCGAAAGGTGAAGAAAGGAGGCAAACATTGAGCACAGGGGCACCGGTGGTGACCTCCACCCTAGTGGTGGTGTTAGGTCATATTAGAGCTGGCACCGCCAGTCCGGGTGGCACCGCCACACCTAGGGTCGTGCCCACCTGGACTTGGTTTCGAAGCAGGAGGGCAACCGCCAACTGCCCGGTGGCACCGCCACTTTTTTCCTAAGGGTGGTGAGTTCGGTGCTGAGGCGAGGGGGTCACCGCCATGGTCACCGCCATGGTGACGGCGGTGCACCGCCCTATTTTTCCAGAGAGAAGGGTTTTTGGGGTGTTGGCCAGGGTGGCACCGCCACCCCCTGTCCGGTGACCATGGCTAGTCAAACTAGTCATTGGATTCGACCGTTGGGGGGCACCGCCACCCCATGTCTGGTGACCGCACCTCCGTATCCGGTGCCCTCGCAGAAAGGTGAACTTTGCTCCAACGGCTCTATTTGGCTTGGGAGCTATAAGTAGAGGTGGAGCTCAGTCATTTGGCTGGTTGAGCACCTTGGGGATGTGTTGCACTTGTGTGTGCTTGGTTTGTTAAGCCTCTAACTCACTTGTGCTTGCGAGAAGTGCGAGTCCATTGCAAGTGAGTGATTCTAGTGCGTTGTATTATGAGATTGCATCGAGTGACACTAGGTGATTGAGTTGCAAGCCAGTGGTGCTTGTTACTCTTGGAGTTTGCCACCTCCTAGACGGCTTGGTGGTGGTCTCCGTTGTCGCACCCAATTTTGCAAAGCAAAACCAAGTACTCATATATGTGCTTGTGATGTCCAAACACACACCACAAATTGCGTAGTATCAAAGTAAAGTACTTATTACATCGCATATCTCATCATAAAGTTAAATACAAAGTTTGCTCAAGGCAATATTATTACAAACACAACGGAAAAACTAGCCAACCGCCATGGGGACTCCAACCGGTGAACGCCTTCCTAGTAGTCCACCCATTATTTACCCATCCGATTTTCATTGGATGTAAAGCAAGTGTAAGCTCACCATGCTTAGCAAGTATAACAAAGGGATCTATGAGGCTCAAATAGGCTTGACATTTGCTTGCCACCGTTCGCAATTTTAGTTGATCAATTTTTAGCAACCTCAATTACTAATTTAATGAATAGTCCCAATTCCCAAGTGGTATTAAAGTATCATCAAGCTTTATCTCATAACCCATCCATCCATTATCCACAGAACACTAATCTCGGGATCCGCACCGCCACGTATCAAGTGAGCACGGGCTGACCATTGGGGGTTAATTATTTCAGAAATTGTACATCTTTACCCACCGAGCCACCCAATGCCACCCACTACACCTGGAAGTGTGGCGTGTTTCACTATGAAACCCTTAGCTAGTTGCACTAACAAATCGTAGCTACAAAGGAATGGCACACGTGGGCATCGCAAAGACGGCGGTGCACACCCTAACAGAAAAAGGAAAGATACCCTTACCCTTTAACGCTCTATACAAACTAGATAATAGGTTAAAGTCGCCATTTGACACTCGGGTTGGGCCGCCTGTGCTAAAGTCCTTATGGAGAGGCACTAGAGTACTCAACCCCGTACTCCACCCCCTATCTGAGGTTCCATTTTATCACATTGCATATAGTCTTTAAATATGTTTAACAATTACTTCATGTTAAGCTGCATTATCCAAAATGCCTACCCAATAGACCTAGGTATCAAGGATATGTGGTAGAATCATCTAGGTAAAGTCCTTAAAGGCAATTCAAATTAAACTCATGCATGAATGTATGTGTTTCATAGGTAACAAGGGACTTGTGTACACTTGCCTTCCTCAAAGTTTGGCTCACCCTCTAATCATGATCCAATCATCAATCAAGCATCATTCCAATCATTACATGCATACAAGATAGAACTCTATTAGAATAGTACACCAAACAGTATGTTGAAAAGCTTACAGATTACAGATGAGTCCATTTGCAAGTGAGTGATTCTTAAAACGTGAAAGTTATGCATGAAATAAGATGTAATGGCAGAATAAACTAACCTATTTTCAATTAAAATAATTAAAAATCTGAATTTAAATGAAATCTGGACCGGGCATACTATTTGAAACTTGAGGACTTGAACGAATAAAAACAGACTAAATAAAATTAATTTGAAGCCGACCGCGGGTTGATTATCGCTTTTTCGCAAAACGCTTTGCTGATCGGGGTTTGACCCGATGATCGACCGGGCATTGACTCATCGACACGCTGGCAATTGTTCACCTCCTAGCTGGGCGTATGCTTGGTGGTGGTCTCGTTGTGGGACGAAACGTACACCAAAAGAAGATTGTGGGCAGCGGTGTCGCCGTGCTTTGACGTGTGAAGAAGTGATTGAAACCGTGGTAGGGGAGGGTCGAGCTCACCGTGAGTCTGATGGGGGCTCACCCAGCCGATGTCAACGGGCGGCGGGCTCGGAGAGAGAAATGCACAATCTACCAAAGTAGGGTACCTTCGGCCGTGGGAAAGGACGCGAGTTCGAGTCGGCTTGCGACGAAGCTTCGAAGTGGTGGGAGAACTGGGCATGCGGTGACTCACGGCCATGGGGGATCAAGGGCTCTGCTCGGGTTTATATAGGCTAGCTAGAAATAGGGAAGGAAGCGGCGGTGGTGGCGCTTTCCATAAGCTAAGCACTCCATCGGTGACGTGAGAAAGTGTGAAGAACTTGAGGAAGAAGAAAGGAAACTAGAAAAAGAGGGGGACAAAGCAGCAAGTGGCGGAGAGACCTTGGAGCTTGTCTTAATGAGGACTAGCTTGGTGGCAACCAAGTAAACCTCGGGGCCAAAGAAGATCAACGTAATCATCCTCTATTTCTTCCGATTGGTTTCAAATGTGGTTTGAATTCAACTTCAATTCATCTAACCCTACACTCATCAAAAATATGCACCAAAGATGAATGTTTCTAAACCTTATAGTTTATTTTATTTATCCATATTTATTATTTGGCCTAAGCTAAAATACCTAGTGTATTAAAGGATAAGTTTGCTCTTATAATTAGTTGACTTGTGTAGTTTGCTAGTTACATTCTTGGGAGCCGCAAAGTAGTAGAGCGAGACACCAAGAAATAACTCCCAAGTGCTATAAGTCCACTAATTTGGTTTGAGTAAACCTTAGAGCTTGTCTCAATATTAGCTTGGTGGTTTATGTAAACCTCGCTAAAAATCATCGTGTCATACTTGTCTTCCCGCTGCATTCTCTAATTTAGCATTAGTTGCCTTGTATAGTTGTTCTTATTTAGTTGACTTGTGTAGTTTGCATTGTTAGTGAGGTTAGGTGCTTTTGGTTGTTGCTTTGTTTAGCATCACTTAGTTGCATGTTGCTAGTGAGCTTAGGAGCTTTGTGCTTTTGCATCACTAGCATGTGCAAAATTATTAGTGCATATGTTTGTGTGACCTTACTCTAGAATTGATTAGGTGAGCTCTAGTTAGTCCGGCACCTTTGTTGCGTAATTATGATCTTAATAAAGTGTTTGTGGACTTAGATAGAGGAGTGTAGTTTTGGCTAATTCGATAGTTTTAATTCCGTATTTGTTTTGGATAACGGCGTGATTAATTTTAAAAAGACTATTCATCTCCTCTAGTCCACCATCTCGACTCCTAGACCTGCAATGGAACCAGTACTTCATTCACCTGGACAACCAAGCCACAGCAGCAGCAGAACCAAAATACTATTGTTGACCATTCATATCAATCAGCAAGCAGAACAGCAAGCATTCTAGGCACCGGACATGGAGCATACCAGCAAGAGAACACTTATGAGTTGTACAATAACCAAAGTTTCCAATTCACTCAGTGCCCCGAGACAACAGGTGCTGCTGCTACAAATGGTTACAGTACACAGGCCTTAGAGAAATCAAAGAGAAAACATGAAGAGAACTACATACAATTATTTTTCAAGTGGCAATGACAATGACTATCCATCAGGGCGTGGGCGGCATTCAAAAAAGGAGGCGGAGTTTCAGTAATGGCTATGCATCTGTGGACTGCAATGGGGAGACTCTGGCTACAACTGCAGGTATGACTGTGATTGCCGATGGAGGAAGAGTTAATGGTACATCAGGGGAAAAATTTAGATCTGCAGTAAGTGCAAGAAAAGCTAATGTCTTGAGGGAGATCTTCCAACTTGACACCCGTGGTATTCTTCTTGAGAAAGCCAAAGCAGAAGTTCGTGAAAAATTACAAGGCTAGAATATTTCTACATCTAGCCAGTTTGCCGAGAAAGGGAAATCAGAAAGAAGAGAGAAGCATGTTGAAAACAATATAAAGGTTAATGGCATCCTCTCTGACAATCCAATCAATAAATGCAAGAAATACAGTTCAAAAGATGCAGATATCGAGATCCCTGTGACCGATGTATTGAATCCAGAACAGAAGCGTGTACCTATGTCCATTGATGTCCCTTACCCAGATTTCCATGACTTTGATAAAGATCGAACAGAAAGAGCCTTTGGCAACGATCAAATCTGGGCTACATATGACAGTGAAGATGGCATGCCTCACCTATATGCAATGGTACAGAAAGTTATTTCAATGAAACCTTTCAGGATACGAATGAGCTTCCTCAATTCTAAGTCCAACAATGAACTGGCACCAATAAACTGGATCGCCTCAGGTTTTACGAAGACATGTGGTGATTTTAGGATTGGAAGATACCAGATTACTGAAACAGTCAACATCTTTTCCCACAGAGTTTGCTGGAGTAAAGGTCCTCGGGGAATTATCAGGATTATTCCCCAAAAAGGTGATACATGGGCTGTGTACCGGAACTGGTCTCCTAATTGGAATGGACTTACACCAGATGATGTAACATATAAGTATGAAATAGTAGAAGTGATCGATGATTTCACTGAAGAGCAAGGCCTGAGTGTTGTCCCATTGCAGAAGGTAGCTGGTTTCAACGCAGTTTTCCACAGGCTCACGGGCCCTGATGTGGTCAGAAGAATACCGAAGAGCTTTTTCCGTTTCTCTCATCGGGTTCCTTCTCGCCTGCTCACTGGTGAAGAAAGAAATAATGCTCCAAAAGGTTGCCATGAGTTGGACCCTGCTGCAACTCCAGTTGACCTGCTTAAGATTATTACAGATGTTAAGGAAGATACCACACAGTGAAGCTCCGAGTAGAACTCAACTTGTCTGTCCTACAGACTTGCAACTGCGAGCTAGCATGGTTGAAGTCTCATTATGTTGTTCACTCACTGGTCAGCATCATATGGCTCACTTGCCTTAATCTATCATTGAACTTCTGGATGACGATGAGGACTTTATTAAGCATTTCTAACATTTAATTTTATGTAATATCGATATCGTATAGAGCAAACGATTATCGAGAGGCTGCATATTGTGCTGAGGCCAGTTCTCAAAATGGCAGGCCTGACTTGTTGCGAGGTAGGCGCCACTAAGTGATACTCGTCTGTAAGGTTATGTCAAGTAAGAGCGTAGTTTGAGACTGCTACCAGGCTTTATTCTGTACCCGTACTCATTTACTTATCATGTTGTATTTTCATTAATGCATAGCATAATCCTTATATTATCTATCGTATTAAGTTATTTTGATTAAATATTATGTCTTTTCTGTGGTGCCAATTACTCTTCCACTCTTGTTCAAAGATTTATGTACAGACGAGTCTTACAAATGGTCTGTAAATGTTCAGAGGTTAATCGGTTTCACATATTTACGGTGTGGAAGGCAGACTATCATTGTGGTAGAAATATGGTTCCTGTAGACTATATACGGTATACCATTCTAGAAGAATATGTGAATTGACCGTATTAATACCATTCTAGAATAATGTGTGAATTGACCGTATTAATACCGATCTTATGGATGGATGGTTTGCCTCTGTACCACGGAAAATTTAGTTTGGCATAATGTGTATTTGCAGAACAGTAATTTCATCATTCTAGGCCAAAGAAGCATAATTGTCCTGATTCAGTTCCAACATGAAATGCATATTGTTGATCAGTGTATGATACATTCCATGCCGTTTGAAGGCGGTGTTGTCAGTCCAGTGACCAAAATTTGTCCAATGAATCCAACAAACTGCAGTGTGACCCCGAAAAAATGGGTAAGCTAAATGCTGCACTCAGTAGAATCAGCAGCTGCGTTCAACGACGGGCTGATGCTTCAGGCCAACATCGAGGATCCAACAATGATAATGATGCCTAGTGATTTTGCAGTCAGCCACAGATTGATAATCTCGTATTGAATCACAAAATAATTGAGATACAGACATTTCAGTAGTAGACAATGGCACCTTATCAGTATCGCTAAAGGCCCAATTATCACCAGATATCTTGAGAGCACAATATGTGGATGGCGTTGTTCACTGCAATTCTGCTAACATCGAACATGGCTGTCGATGACGATGCAACTCATTTCTGTTCCCCTTTTTCTTTTTGCAACACTTTCGCCGGATGAAAATAATAATGAGAACAAAAAAGGGCAAAAGTACAATATATTTAAGTCTCTCATAAACCATCAAGTTGCAAGACTGGCACTGAAGATGCCAACTGTTTCACCATCGCACTAACTGTTTGTACAGGTACGCTTGGATGTACTGATGTACAGAACTGCATTCAGAAGACTGCTATCAGAATTTGTGCGACATAGATCTCAGAATATCCACATCGTATTGTACGTACCATTATTTCCTCTTATGAAGGCATCACCGTATTTATTCTTTAGCTGACCACTGACGTATTCTTCAGTTTGCTCCATCGCAATGTTCATGTATCAATCAAGACATGCCAGAATACCTGATTAGGATCAGGAAAACTCCACTAGTGTGATTGAACAAGCAATTGGTTTAACAAATTCGTTTTTTCAGTTATTCATACAATAGAAATAGAAACAGACAGAAATATAATTTTCAGTATGTAAGCAGGCCTCATCCATAAATATGAGCACTGATTATTGGCCACCATGAGTATCAAAGTGGAAAAATTGAAAATGGATCTTCCAGCAAATTCAACACTGTTTGACATAACAGATACACTAGCAACATGGAATCCAAACACTGTAGACATCCGGTGTACTTTATTTTAAAAGGAATAAGCAAATTCTTCTTCATACGAAGTGACAGAGATCCTAGGTTGGTCTTTTTTTTTTGAAGAATATAAGAAAATTAACGTGGTCAAATATTCACCACAAGGGTATACAAACATGTAGTAGCAAGGAAACTAATGTAGTTAATAACAGGACTAACAGCTAGCAACTACATATGGACATGTACCAACATACTCAGAGAAACCCCAACCATATCACCATAGCATCCATCTTTTTGTTTAAGGGCAGGAATCAGATCAGAATGAAAGTGAAATTTCGAAGTATAACACTACCATGTGGCTTATCCTTTGAAGAAACGATAGAAAATATAGCCCGTAGGGACTTCATACATAATTTTGGCTTGGCTCGTCCATGCCACAAACCAAACACACCCTTAATATCTATTATAGGGCATTCAATCCTCTAATGAAAAACATGCCGATAATCGTAACTACAGAAAACCACACCTATCTGACTATCCCAAATAACTACTTTCACAGGAATATCTCACCTCTCCACTGTCCCCTGAATCATAATCCTTGTTAGAGAACCACACAATTATCTCTGAAGTCATAACACAATCCATGACTTAGAACTGGTAAAGTAATCCATGATGCTAACAGCACAGGGCAGGACAGAGTCGTTTGCATAACCAAAACACCAGGCTTAAAACTCTACAGGGGATTTGTTCAAAAGCCAAATCTACAGGTGATTCCTAGGGTTTAATTTAATGTATGAATCTGATTAGCCACGTTGAAATCGCTTGAGCAAGACCAAAATTCTCATGGGAATCACAATATCATATTCTATCGCGGTTGCCATGCTCCACAAAGCACAAGTTATCTTTATAAGGAACAATAAACAATTTTTGCCCCATTGTTCTGCATAAACACAATAAAGGCAGGGTACAAGTTATCTTTACAAGCACAAGTTATCTTTACAAGCTAATCACCTAATAACTTTACAAGTTATCTTTACATTTTGTCACCTAATATCTTTACAAGTTATCACCTCTGCATAAGCAAAATTTGCCACATTGCCCCATCAAGCACAAGTTATCTTTACAAGTTATCACCTAATAATATCCCCAGCTAAACACAATAAAGGCATGGTACAAGTTTCTCCTGGAATTAAGAATAAAATAGTTGAACAAGCATGACTGTTCCTCCAGGAGGGTTTGGAACATTGTTACAGACACGGGCGAAAGGTGAGAAACAGAGCGGAGGGCTGAGGTGACCTCGGTAGTCGACGCCGGAGTTGAGCTTGACAACGACAGGGTGGCCCCTGATGGACTTGAGGAAGTCCGACGGCGTCTTCACCGTCCTGCCGGCGCCCGAGCCGGGCCTGTCGCTGCCGCCGCCGCTGCTCATCTTGCGCACTGTGCTCGGTGTGGCGGTGTCCTTATGTTGCGGATTGCGGGTGGGGCAGGTGGGTGCGACCCGTTTGGACTCCGGCCGGAGCCGCCTGATCCCTGGTCGGTGTCAGTGCCGTTTACTCTGGGTCCCACGTGTCAGTACCGTCTGTAGATGACAACAACCCGTCGTCCACAGTCGTGTCCATAATATCCTTTCTTCTTTTTTTTTCGAATATCCTATCTTCTTTTTCCAAAATCTCCTTGACGCACTCTGTCGTTTACCAGCGTGCAGTGGAAACCACGTTTGTAATAAACGCCGACACGTCGGTCCCACATTGACAGACCCCACCGACCAGCGAGTAGCGTGTACGTGTTCGGGCGACGGACGTGTCGCCGTCGTCTTGCGAGTCCCATTCCCATCCCCATCCGAGCCACACATCTCTGACACAAAAGCAGGGAGGCCTCCACGCACATCCCCCTCCGTGCCACCCGCCCCCAAACCCTCGCGCCGCCTCCGAGACAGCCGCCGCAACCATGGCCACCGCCGCCGCCGCCGCCACCGCCGTGCTCACCGGCGCCACTACCGCTGCGCCCAAGGCGAGGCGCCGAGCCCACCTCCTGGCCGCCCGGCGCGCCCTCGCCGCGCCCATCAGGTGCTCCGCGGCGTCACCCGCCACGCTGACGGCTCCCCTGGCCACCCCGCTCCGGCCGTGGGGCCCCACCGAGCCCCGCAAGGGCGCCGACATCCTCGTCGAGGCCCTCGAGCGCTGCGGCGTCCGCGACGTCTTCGCCTACCCCGGCGGCGCGTCCATGGAGATCCACCAGGCACTCACCCGCTCCCCCGTCATCGCTCAACCACCTCTTCCGCCACGAGCAAGGGGAGGCCTTCGCCGCCTCCGGCTTCGCGCGCTCCTCGGGCCGCGTCGGCGTCTGCGTCGCCACCTCCGGCCCCGGCGCCACCAACCTAGTCTCCGCGCTCGCCGATGCGCTGCTCGACTCCGTCCCCATGGTCGCCATCACGGGACAGGTGCCGCGGCGCATGATTGGCACCGATGCCTTCCAGGAGACGCCCATCGTCGAGGTCACCCGCTCCATCACCAAGCACAACTACCTGGTCCTCGACGTCGACGACATCCCCCGCGTCGTGCAGGAGGCTTTCTTCCTCGCCTCCTCTGGTCGCCCGGGGCCGGTGCTTGTCGATATCCCCAAGGACATCCAGCAGCAGATGGCGGTGCCGGTCTGGGACACGCCCATGAGTCTCCCTGGGTACATTGCGCGCCTTCCCAAGCCTCCTGCGACCGAATTGCTTGAGCAGGTGCTGCGTCTTGTTGGTGAATCGAGGCGCCCTGTTCTTTATGTTGGCGGTGGCTGCGCAGCATCTGGTGAGGAGTTGCGCTGTTTTGTGGAGATGACTGGAATCCCAGTCACAACTACTCTTATGGGCCTTGGCAACTTCCCCGGCGACGACCCACTGTCTCTGCGCATGCTTGGTATGCATGGCACGGTGTATGCAAATTATGCAGTGGATAAGGCCGATCTGTTGCTTGCATTTGGTGTGCGGTTTGATGATCGTGTGACAGGGAAGATTGAGGCTTTTGCAAGCAGGGCTAAGATTGTGCACATTGATATTGATCCGGCTGAGATTGGCAAGAACAAGCAGCCACATGTGTCCATCTGTGCAGATGTTAAGCTTGCTTTGCAGGGCATGAATGCTCTTCTGGAAGGAAGCACATCAAAGAAGAGCTTTGACTTTGGCTCATGGCACGATGAGTTGGACCAGCAGAAGAGAGAATTCCCCCTTGGGTATAAAACTTTTGATGAGGAGATCCAGCCACAATATGCTATCCAGGTTCTTGATGAGCTGACAAAAGGGGAGGCCATCATTGCCACAGGTGTTGGGCAGCACCAGATGTGGGCGGCACAGTACTACACTTACAAGCGGCCAAGGCAGTGGTTGTCTTCGGGTGGTCTTGGGGCTATGGGATTTGGTTTGCCGGCTGCTGCTGGCGCTGCTGTGGCCAACCCAGGTGTCACTGTTGTTGACATCGACGGAGATGGTAGCTTCCTCATGAACATTCAGGAGCTAGCTATGATCCGAATTGAGAACCTCCCAGTGAAGGCCTTTGTGCTAAACAACCAGCACCTGGGAATGGTGGTGCAGTGGGAGGACAGGTTCTATAAGGCCAACAGAGCACACACATACTTGGGAAACCCAGAGAATGAAAGTGAGATATATCCAGATTTCGTGACAATTGCCAAAGGGTTCAACATTCCAGCAGTCCGTGTGACAAAGAAGAGCGAAGTCCATGCAGCAATCAAGAAGATGCTCGAGACTCCAGGGCCGTACCTCTTGGATATAATCGTCCCGCACCAGGAGCATGTGTTGCCTATGATCCCCAGTGGTGGTGCTTTCAAGGATATGATCCTGGATGGTGATGGCAGGACTGTGTATTGATCTAAATTTCAGCAAGCACCGCCTCCCTGCCTTTCTTTGACATGCATATGAGCTAGTACAAGGGTGATAGGTGTTATCTATGTGATGATCTCCTGTGTTCTATATTTTTGTAAGCCGTCAGCTATCTATAGTGTGCTTGTTTGATGTACTCTGTTATGGTAATCTTAAGTAGTTTCCTACCTTGTAGTTGTGTAGTCTGTTGTTTTCGTGCTGGCATATCTGTCATAAGATAATAAGGTAATAAGCATTGCTATGCAGTGGTTCTGAATTGGCTTCTGTTGCCAAATTTAGTTGTCCAACTGGTCCTTGCTTTTGTTTTAGCTCTTTTTTCCTTGTTTATTTATTATTATTGTTAATTCCAACTCAACATATGATGAATGGAAGGATGCACATTTGTGCATGAAAGGGCTACTTATATTCAATTTGTTCTTATAAGTATGTTCCTTCATGTGCACTCAAATCGGCTCAATGTGTTATTTGCCATTACAAGTCGTTCAATCCTTCGCACTCAAAGTGGGCTCAAGTTCCATTTTAAAATAAATAAATAAATAAATAAATTGGCTCAAGTTTCCTCGTGTGCGGACGCAATGCACGCGAAACGCTGGTCAAAGAAGCCTAACGCTTTCCACGACGCTGATGTGCCGGTGCTGAAGAAGACAGCGGAGGCTGAGGCTTGATCGGTAAAGCTATCGTTTGTTTTGATTGATTGCCAATCCATTTCCCAAAGATATGGATCAAACATCTCAACTTCCACATATATTTTGCTATTATTATTATAAGACTGATACCAGCGAGATTTCCTTTCTTGAGGTTCAACGAGGGGCATTCTATCCACTCGTTATTCCTTAAAGCTATAGCATTCCACTATCAAAACAAAATAACCAGATAGAAGTAAATACATGCCACAAAAAATGAAAAGGTCATTCACTCTTTTAACTTAACCACCTGGAATCAAAATGCTTTCCTTCTCAAGTTGGATCTGGCAAAAAGCTTTTGATCGTCTGGAATGGGATTTTACCGCCATTGCTCTCCTACGTCAAGGTATCATGGTTATTTCATCAACCTCATCAGAACCTGTATATCCACTCCCACATTCTCGGTCCTTGTCAACGGACAGCCACGCCTACTTTTCGAGCGCAACAAGGTATCCGCCAAGGCTGTCACTTATCGCCTTACCTTTTTGTTATTGCAATTAATCAACTGTCCAATAGGCTTCAATCTGAGATGCAAAATAGCAATCTGACAGGTATCTCTCTGGGTACAAACTTCCTCCTATCCACTCCATGCTTTTTGCAGATGATGTGATTCTTTGTGGCAATGCCTCAGTTGCAGAAGCTACCACCATTCGCCATATTTTTCAGGATTCGCCATATTTTTCAGGAGCTCTCAGCTGCCTCGGGCTAAATGCCTAAATTACAAACTTCCAAAAATCAGCCACTCTTTTTAGCAAGAGAGTTGACAACAACACCAAAGACCAAATCAAATCTATCTTCCCAGTCACTGACCTCCTACCCAACACCATGCACCTGGGACACCCCCATGATCTTCAACCATAGAGACAAAACCAAAGCCTATGAGTTCATCATCAACAAATTCAGGGCCAAGCTGATCAGTCAAAGCAAATACGTTAAACCATGCTGGGCGATTCACCTACATCAAATTTGTTCTTGCATCCATTATATATTACATGTCAACTGTCCTCTTCTCCAAGAGTTTTGTGGAAAGGATTATTACCATCATTAGAAGATTTTTGTGGGCACGTGTCCAAGATGACAATACTACTTCCCCCATTGCCTTCCGCTCTTCGGGGGACATTTGTCGATCAAAGAAAATGGAGGCTTGGGAATCAGAGACCTTTACACTGTAAACAAGAGCCTCACCACTAAAGCTGCTTAGAACATAGTGACCAACAAAAACAGTTTCCTCACTGCCATCTTACAAGCAAAATATTTCCCAAATAATTCTTTTTGGACTACAAAAAGCAATGGACCTCGCTCTGTTTTCTGGTCCTCTGTTCGACAAGTAAAGAAGGATCTCGAACAAAACTCAGTCTACCAAATTCAATCAAGTAACACCTCCATCTGGTCCAGCCCGTGGCAAAGGTTTTCTCTTTGTTATTTTTACAAATAGAAATAGGTAACCAATTTCTATGTGAGGAGGATGAAACCTTTGTTGAATCATATGATGGAGTGACTTGAATCTATGTTTGAACTCTTATGTGATGAATTAGTTCAAGTCTCACTCAAGGAAGACATGCTCAATCTGTCAAGTGATGAAAGCCCTCAAAGATTGCATGATTAAGTGTTGGCAAGCAAATGACAAGGAAGACAAGTTGAAGTTTAGTTGCTATCTTTCATTCTTGAGTATAGGTATGTCACACTATCAAGAGGGATGCATCAATGCACTAATGACAAGTTAAACCCTGGTGAGAAACCTAGAGAGAGTGAAAGAGAGTTTCTAGAGCCAACATGAGTTGGAGGCACGTATGTGAAAAACCGGCCTAGATGGGTTGGAAAACCGGCTTAGTTGGCTTTGGCATAGTAGTCGTTTTTGTTTGACTCAGCCTCCAACGACTAGTTTTTGAGAGAAACCTTTAAATAACTTCTCTTGTCCCCTTGTGCTGGTTTGCTGAAGCTTTTTCCATTGCATACATGACCAAGAGCAAGTGGTTCTCTCCCAAACCTCCCTTTGTGGGTGAAAGGTGATTAGAGAGTAAAATCCTTAGTTTGGGTTGAGAGCCTTGTTGTGTGAGAAGCCTTAGTGACACTAGAGAGCTTGTGTGTCTTTGAGAGGGTTGTCAAAGCCTTGAGCACTTGACCAAGTCTAGTTTTCGGTTGGTGCATTTTTTACTCTTCGAGGTTAAGCCTTCTTGGTGGCTAGGCGTCACCAGCAAGCACCCAAGTTTGTAGGTGTGTTGCAGGCTATGATGTTACATCCGAAAGGAGAAAGATCATCTAGTACAGCGTGAAAAGTGGTTGAGAGCAACCTGGCTAGAGTGCACCCTAGAGTGGTAGCTCACGACTTCCACAATGGAGATGTAGGATCCAAGTGGGGATCTAAACTTCAGGAAACATATCACTGCGTCTCCTTTTTGGTCTGCCTCATATTTGTATTTATATTGCATATCTTGTGCTTCTATTTGTATCTACTTGGTTGTGTGTGTGTTTATGATTGCAGGGCCATGTGAGCCTATCAAGGATCTCATCGGAGTCACACACAAGTCTGGTCTGACATGGAAGAGGGGAGGGGGATCTAACCCTTACTGCAGGTCTTCAGTGAAGACCGACTAAGCTGTTATTGGTACCTGGCTAATGCCTTGTTTAGTTAGTGAAATTTTTTTGGGAAATGGTACTGTAGCATTTTCATTGTTATTTGACAATTAGTGTCCAATCATAGTCTAATTAGGCTTAAAAGATTCGTCTCGTGAATTTTGTCTAAACTGTGTAATTAGTTTTATTTTTTATTTATATTTAATGCTTCATACATGCGTCCAAAGATTTGATGTGAAATCTTGAAAAATTTTGTAAAATTTTGGAAACTAAACAGGCACTAAGCCAGGTTTGCCACTTAAGCTGGTTCGATCGTCAAACCTGGCTTGTAATACCGGCTAGGCCAGTTTTGCCTGTGTGTGCAATATAGACTGTTTTAAGTGCTACCTTATTTTAAATAATTTTTGAAGAACTTATTGTCTGAATTGTGTGTTATCCATGCGCAAAAAGATCCTTATTGCTGCACGTAGTGGACATAGATGGTGTCCAGATTAATTAGATTAAGGTCCTGTTTGGATCTCTATACATAATAGCTTTCTATTAATAGTTATCTTTTTTTTTGATCCAAACAAATATAGCTAATAAAATAGCTAATTGTTAGCTAGACCTCTAGATAATAACTATCTTACGAGTTGGACCAAATGAGATAATAACAGCTAATAGTTATCTTAGTAATATTTTTTATTAGCCATGTATTTAAACACTCTCCAGCTAATAGGTAGCTAATAGTTGGCTAGCTAATATTAAATATGAGCTATTAGTCAGCTTACTAATAGCAGATAGTGAATCTAAACGGGGCTTAAGCTAAGGTCAGTCGGAGGACGACATTTCGGTTTAGCTTAGTTAGAGGGTAATATCATAGGCTGAAGAGACTGTCTTAGGGAGTGTCAGTTGTACTACTAGAGTGTAAGCACGAGGATCTCCGATGTCCATATCATCGTCTTTTCGACAGGTTCATTGTCCAAGTCTGTTCCTGGGACATCACATCACCTGTAGCTCCCTATCAAACGGGGTGGTTTAAATTTGGGCTAACTTTTTTTCAACCCGAGGACGATATTTCAATTTAGCTTAGTTATTTGGAGGGTATTATCATATCATGACCAACTGTCTTAAAAATTCATCTGTATTTCCAACTAAAGTGTAATTAGTTATCTTTTTTACCTCCATTTAATACTCCATGCGACGGTTCAAAATTGATGTGATGTTCCTGGGACAAAACATCACCTGGATGGTATCTAAACAAGGCCTAAAGCACGGTTTTCTGATGTTCAGATCTTTCTATACGCATGATTAGGCACTCGGAACCAAGATAGCAGATGGTGTCGGGTTCATAAACCCAGATCCCTCGGGGATCGGCTTCTACGCCAAGGCTCGACCCGAGAGTCTACAAACAACATGACAAAGGGGCGGTCCAGCAACCGACCGGAAGGCCTAGCCCAAGAAGAGCAACGCCCGCTCGACAGCTACTTTGGCCCATCTATCCGACTGGAGCACTCGCTTCGGGCTCCAACCGCCTCCGGATGGCCTCTCCGATCGGAAGGCCTGCCCCGAGCCCTACTTCCGACTCCGACCCCGCGTCTCTCCGATCGGGGTATGTAAGAACCTTGCTCGCCGCTCTTCTCTGACTGGCGCAACTAAAGCCGACTGGGGCTATCCGACCGGGGACGCCCGCTCGGAAGGGACCAGGGACGAACGGAGAAAGCAGCACGCGAGTCAAACCATGGTATAGGG